GCAGATGTCGGAGTAACCTTTCAGTTCTTGTTTTTATATTCTCCTTTCTCCTGGAATCATCAGATCTTGGAAACTGCCCTTCTTGATGATGAAAGCTGAACCTGGATCACTTTACAGCCTGTTAAAAATACACTGCAAATAAGCAATTGCTATAGAGTAGAGAGAGGCAATCCCTTTCTATAAGAATTGGTCAGAGTAGCAACTTATAGTTCACCAAATTGGCAGTGTAATGTGTCATTAATTATTAGTGCAGACATGCATTGCTTTTAAAAAAGTATCTTTTGAATTAAGCATAGTGGGAGGCAATCATAACTGTGTTGTTATAGGTGTCCTTATCTTAAATGCACAAAACATTTTTCTTCTCAAATTTTCCAGAAAATAATCTAATCTCAGCCTGAAAGCATGTATGCTGAGTTTTAATTTTCATCACAAAAATGTTACAGTCCAGTGACTTATCCTAAAATTAGCGTTTAAAGCAGAAACAAATACAGCTTAATTGTAGAATCACAATATTTTTAAATGTAGAGGCCGCGTCTACATGAGATGCTGACTGCACAGTAACCAGCATCCCTGAATGGCTTCATAGTGATGCTGACTGCACAGTAGCTCATTACTGCTGTGCAGTAGTGTTGCATCACGCTTTGCGGTGCATGATGCTACTGCGCAGTAATAACGAGCTACTGTGTAGTCAGCGTCTAGTGTAGATGCAGCCAAAATGCTATTAGTGCAGCATTATTTTTAACATAGATAAAACTTCAACTAATGCAGGGTTATAAGCCATTTTAATAGTAGAAGCTTTTGTTCTAAAGGTACATGTCTTATATAGAGCCACATTCTACTGCTCCGTCTTTTTGTATGTTCATGAGCTTGGGAGTTGACTCACTAGGATAAATAGAAGAACACAAGATCCCTTGTAACAAGGAAGTCCATGCATGTGCCTCAAGGAGTGCATATACATAGCTCATCTGTCAGCTCCTTTTCTCCCATACAACAAACATTTTGACACCACACTGTTTGCATTATCTTTCCCACTTAGTGCTTCGTGAGGACAGTGCTTATTTCAGTGTCTGAACTTACACATTTGTCATAGTCTTATTCTTGTTTTTAAAAACAAAAACAACATAACAAAAAGTTAATTCCAGCTATAGATGTCACCCCCTATCCAGTGACTGGTTTAAGCTAATGTAGTGAAAACTTGAGATAATGAAGTTTATTAACAAAGCATGCATTTAACAAAAGTGGAAAGTTAACTTCAAAAATATTTCCCTTTAACATACGGTAAACTCTCTGGTAACCGGCACCTTACAAGCTGGCATGCTCTGTTAACCAGCCTGCCGGCTTGTAAGGAAAAGTGAAACCTGAAGTGCCCACCGTGGGGGCATGCCGGATAACAGAGCTTTTACTGTAGTAGCCTGTCCTCAGGCCATCTGGCTTTCCTCAGTTTCTGTTATTGATATAGTTCAAATAAATCACAATAAATCATACTTCATTGGCTACTGACTTCTGAATCTGTGGCTCTTTAAGGCCCTTGTCCAAAGCCTAATGAAGTCCACAGAAGTCTTTCTACTGACTACATTAGGCTTCAGGTCAGGAATTTGGCATGCTCTAGAACAAATGACTGCTACTTTAAGGAAGAATTTAGATGAATTTAGGAATCAAAAGACATGTAGAACATTGAATCAATAGTATTAACATATGCCATGCTTCCATAGAATCATAGCTGTCACAATGATGTGTCTTCTGAAACCTCTGCCCAGGCAAACCACTCTTGTCCTCCACCCCAGAAATCCTGAAGGATTTCATGTTTTCTTACTCTCTCACACATGTGGGATACACAGTCCTTAAATTTAACCTTCTCCCATGGTTGGATCTAGAATTTTTGAAGAGGGGGTGTAGGTGGTATGGCATTACATGTAACACAGTACATATTTTTCTCCTGTTAAAAAGAAACTAGGAACTATACTAATATGCCTAGAGCTATAATATTAAGTATAAGGTTGAAGCAAAATCAAGTATATATTTTTTTGGAATGTGCATGCTATATCTTCATCTTGCTCACAGGACAAAAGCAATGCTGTTTTTGGAAACAAGTGACCAGTTCACCGAGTGTTGAACTATTTTTCAAGGTTTTGGCTACTAGCAGAATTCCCTAGTTGTGAATTTAAAAGATTGGGAGAGGGATATCAATCCACTGAATAGTAACAGAACTCAGCAAAATTGTTTTGCTTTAATCCTTAGATTGCTTTTTCTTTTTTTAATTATTTTTATTCTGTAAAAGATTTTGGATTTTTGTCAGAAAACTGGAAATAGATCACTTTATAGGAAAAGTTTCATATACAATTTTGGTTTAGTAAGAACCATTTTTTTACTATTATTATTGCTAATAAGGCCTAACTTGAGCTAATGGTGCCCAGCTTGAAATCAGTTGTGAAACAAGACCTATGTTCTTCTATTCAGGTTGTGGTTCTTATTGGAAGAAAATGTCTTTGTTAATTCAGCAAGACATTCAAAATAACTGATTTGGCTTTTTGGATTGTTTATTTAAAATGGGGAACATCTACACGAGACATTTACTGCACAGTAGACTAATTAGCTGCACAGTAACTGTCTCACTGTCTACATGTGCACCCTTATTAGGCTGGAGTAAACTAATTTACTCTGCAGCAGGACAGTACTTGCAAATACAAGTATTATCCTGCTGTAGAATAAAAAACTCTGCAGCAGCACACATACCGATTCATAGATTCATAGATGTTAGGGTTGGAAGGGATCTCAATAGATCATCGAGTCTGACCCCCTGCATAGGCAGGAAAGAGTGCTGGGTTCAGATGACCCCAGCCAGATGCCATCCAACCTCCTCTTGAAGACCCCCAGGGTAGGGGAGAGCACCACCTCCCTTGGGAACCCATTCCAGACCTTAGCCACTCTAACTGTGAAGAAGTTCCTCCTAATGTCCAGTCTAAATCTGCTCTCTGCTAGCTTATGGCCATTATTTCTTGTGACCCCGAGGGGCACCTTGGTGAGTAGAGCCTCACCAATTCCCTTCTGCGCCCCCATGATGAATTTATAGGCAGCCACAAGGTCGGCTCTCAACCTTCTCTTGCGGAGGCTGAAGAAGTCCAGGTGCCCTAGTCTCTCCTCATAGGGCTTGGCCTGCAAGCCCTTAACCATACAAGTGGCCCTTCTCTGGACCCTCTCCAGGTTATCCACATCCCTCTTGAAGTGTGGCACCCAAAACTGCACGCAGTACTCCAACTGGGGTCTTACCAGCGCCCGATAGAAGGGATGTATCACCTCCTTGGCGCTGTTTGTCATACATCTGCTGATGCATGATAAAGTGCCGTTAGCTTTGCTGAAGACTTCATCACACTGACGACTCACGTTCATCTTGGAGTCCACTAGGACTCCAAGGTCTCTTTCCAATTCCATGCTACCGAGCAGGTCATTTCCTAGGCAGTAATTGTGCTGGACATTTTTCCTCCCTAGATGCAGCACTTTGCATTTCTCCTTGTTAAATTGTATTCTATTGTTTTCTGCCCATTTGTCCAACCTGTGAATTGGATCCAATAATGTGGATTACTTACTAAATTTTGCCACTTTCTTATAATTAGTTAATGCTGCTTCACAGTTCCTTGGAACATTGATTCCTAACCAATAATGATATCCCTAAAACAAACAGATGAACAAAAAAGTCCTTTGCTTTGGTTATTTTGTAGGAAATAAGAAATAGGGTACTAAATATTTAATTTAGTACCCTAAATGTCCCTGCCTTCCAGTGTGTCCACTTCTCCCCACAGTTTTGTATCATCCACAGACTTGGACAGAGTACACTTCACTCCCTCGTCCAAGTCACTGACGAAGACATTGAAAAGTACCGGTCCAAGGACCGAGCCCTGCAGGACCCCACTGCCCACACCCTTCCAGGTTGATACTGACCCATCCACTACCACTCTCTAGGTATGACCCTTTAGCCAATTTGCCACCCACCAGACTGTGTAATTATCCAAGTCCAAGCCTCTTAACTTGTTCACCAGTATGGGGTGGGATACCGTATCAAAGGCCTTCCTGAAGTCTAAGTAAATGATGTCAACCCCTACTCCTGTGTCCAGGTGTTTTGTAACCTGGTCATAGAAAGAGACTAGATTAGTCAGGCATGATCTACCTAGATGATGATGGGGCTGGTTGGGGCATGAGGGTGCTTCAGTGTGGGGGCTGCCTGCCAGCTAGCCCAGCACTGAAGCACCCTCCTGCCCCAGCCAACCCTCCCACAGCACACTGAGCGATGAGGGAGCAGCTCTGGGCTGACAGGCTGACCCCCCGGGTCTCCTGCCAGCTGGAAATGCTCCAGCCTGGCTCAATGTGCTGTGCTCCTGGGTACACATTCAAACAGCAATAAACTCCAGAGTTTATTGTCCTGGAGTTTATTGCTCCTGGGCACATGTTCAGTTGGCACATGCGGGAGCAATAAACTCCGGAGTTTATTGCTTCACATTAATTGCACGTGTAGATGTGCCCACAGTGGTCTAAAGTGAATTTTGTCTTGAGACATCAGTTATATATGCCTAACTTACCCACCTGACTGATAGCAAAAACAACTACACAGGGCACATGTACACGTTTATAAATGCACAGTAGTTTCTGTGCATTTAGTTTAGTACTTGACGTACTAACTAAATGCACAGTATCTACAGTTACCATGCAGTAGTACCAGGACACAGGTTTTTGTGATGCTTACTGTACAATAGTGCAATAGCCTAATAACACTGTGCAATAGCGCATTTACACGGTTTTTGACCAGCACGCTACTGCACAGTACTAGGCTACTGTGCAGTAAATGTCTCATGTAGACTTTAGTTAAGAGATTATATTTATTAAAAATTCTCTAGCTCTTTACTGAACAAGAAAACAAAACAAATACCATCAATTTCTACTTCTTTAGGCAATATGGTTGGCCAGAAGTAAAAAAAGTGCTGAAATTTGCTTTTATTTTGTGTTTGCAGGTATTAGGATTTATGTCTTCATATGGCATAGGAGTGGAGTATAATCAAGCCAAGGTAAGAAAAATACTGCTAGCCTTTTATCATTTAATTTTAAAGAAAGGACTGCTTGCTTTGTTTATTCATTCCTTGTTGTTTTTTTTATTTCTGTTTTAGGCACTTCTGTATTATACATTTGGAAGTCTTGGAGGAAACTTGATATCTCAAATGATTTTGGTTTGTAAATTAGATATTTAGTACCCTATTTCTTAGTTACTACAAAATAACCAAAGTAAAGGACTTTTTTGCTCATCTGTTTGTTTTAGGGATATCGTTATTGGTTAGGAATCAACGTTCCAAGGAACTGTGAAGCAGCATTAACTAATTATAAGAAAGTGGCAAAATTTAGTAAGTAATCTACATTATTACTATTGTCATAACTAATTTTATAAATTAAAAAAGTATGAAAGGCATAGAAGAAACAAATTCTCATTCCAAATTAATAACAAGATAGAATGTAGCAAACTTTGGGTTCAAGTGCACAGGTACAGCATTGTAGTAATATTAATAGGAGCTGTGCACATAGTTCTAGGGGTTGATTTTCACCTATTATTATTGGTAGTGTTGGAGTGATGTTGTAGCTGTGATGGTGCAGGAATTATGCGAGAGACCTTTTGCAAAGGTCACTTGATGAAGAATGCTTTGCATTCTAAAGTTTGTCTAACTTTATCCCAACCATGCATTTGGTTCAATAACTTTTATCATCCAGAAAAAATCCTTGTGTAATAGGGTCCCTACCTCATCACAGAAGGAAAGAGGGAGTCAGGGAGTAGCTGGCTGGCTTTAGCCCCTGGAGAAACTGATAGGGGCAGAAGGCCCTTTAATAAAATTGCCACACACTCCAGGTGTGGCCAGCACAGTACGGCCAGTGATTAATGAGCCTGGGGTGGAATTAAGGAGTCAGGTGACCCAGAGAGAGGGTTAGAGACATAAGCCCAGAGCCTGAGGGAAGGCAAGCGATCTGATGCTGCAGGCTGCAAGAAGTAGAGCCCTGTAGAGGAGAGGGCCAAAGAGGACTGGCCAAGGAGGTACAACTCCAGACTTCAGGGAGCACTAGGAAGCCCTTGCACCAAGTATTTTGGGGCCTTGCATTGCCACGGTGTGCTGTTCCCAGGGTTGGGGGAACCTTTCGTTTGGAAGCAGATGCTTGTAGTTTTTCATTGGTGTTAAGATTCAACTGGAGGGCCAGATTTTGACTGTAGAGGATGTGGAGGCCGCTGAGAAGGGTGCCAGAGGCACCCCAGATCCTAAATCCTTCAAGGAGGAGGTGGGCCATTGCTGTCAGCAGAAGGGCAGTGGCATGAGATATAAAAGACTGGGAACAAGCCCAGAGCCCACAAAGGGTGAGACTGGGGCTGAGGGGCCCAGAGCCCATGAAGAGTGAGGCTAGAGCTGGAATCTGGGAACCTAGGGTCCTGGGACACTGGACCTGGGTGGAGGCCAAACCAGAATAAAGTGGGCCAAGGCTAGGGGGCCTCAGCTCAGATGAGGTTCTAAGACTGGAAGTGAAAACCCCAGCCCTCCAGGGGCAGCCTCCTTGTGCAATTATAACACCTAAGCATGGTAGGTGAGACAACGGGGAGGGACCCTGAGAGGCCAGAGGGACTGAGCAAGGTGGGATCCAGGCAGCCACAAAGGGGTGACTTTGCTGCCCTAGCACTGGATGCATTACACTTTGCCTCTCACTTCTATTATTATTTTAATGTTATGATCATTTTGTAACTTTAAAAGATAACTATGGAAGTATTTTGGAAATAAAGTAGGAATAATATATTTAAGTCACTTTCGACTATGAGCTTGATTTTGACTTCTACATACTCACAAGTGCTGAATTTGCCATTTCCTGAAGTATATGAGCTTTCCACCCAGTCACACCAGTACTGTATTGTGTGCAGTCCTAAATTGCATGAAGAAGTGAGGTGGGAAACAATTTTCCCATCCTAAAAAGCCTGAGATTAAAAAAAAAAAATTCTGGTTGGACATACAAAGTCCTTTCAATGGTTTTAGTGAAAAAACAAAGGCATGAATTTGGCTGAGCAAGGTCTTGAATTTAGTCTCACCTATGAGTGCCATAACCACTGGGCTCTTGGCTGTCCTCTTATTTTGATGGGAAATGCTGTCCTCTACCCAAGTGAACCATTGCTGACAAAAGTGATATTCATCTTTCTGCAAAAAGGTTCTATTTTAAAAAGTTGACAATATTTGATGAAAAAACTATTTCACTTCAAAATTCTGTCTCACTTCTCAATGCATTCACTTTTTGTCACTACAGAGTTGTACCTCTGACAACTTTCTGCTAAGCATCTTTGCTCAAAACTGACTCTAGAACTTTTTTAAGCTTATGAGATTCACAGTTAAACTAGCCACAGATATGTCTTATACTTTGTGAAGTTTAAGGGAACCACATTTAAGGCATCATAGAAATTAGGCCCATCTAGCATAGCGATGCTTCATGAATTCACTAGTGCTTCGAAGGGTAGATGGTAGGTTGTATCACAGATTTTAAAATTATATTCTCTTGGGACAGGGTGATGACCTCCAGTCTATAAGTTGTGGACAGAGAGAAATGTGAAAAAAGGCCATGTACAGACATTCAGTTTCTCCTGACAGAGTTGCTGTTCTCCCAGGAGACACCACAATTTTTCTCCCAAAACAAAAATGGTTACTCAGAGGAAAATAACCTGGGAACAACCAAGGTTAAATCTTTGCCAGGAGAGTTTATCCTGGGACAGCTAATGTCTGTACAGGCTCTGAGACAAGCTACAGTATAGTCTTCCAGAATCTCCAGGTGTTTCGCTTTCATTCCCCACCTCGCCCAAGTGATGGTGCATCGCTCACTGGACTACTTCTCCAGCTGAGCAGGGAACAGAACACCCCCACTTCACAATCCCCACACTGAGCTGCAGGACTGCGCAGGCTGAGCTGTGCACTGCTGCTAGTCTGTCTCCAGGTAGGCTAATGGATCCTGCAAAGCATGCTGAGATGCATGCATAGGAACTGTGCAGCATCAGCACTACAAGCTCTCTGCTCTTTAGGGGCAATCATTAGAATTTCTGTTTAGGCATCTCTGGATAAGTTTTTCTAACAAGAGAACAAACCTGGGAGAATTCTCCTAGATCACTTGAATGCGTGTATACAGCCAAAGTTAACGTCTGCATTGATATAACTTCCATAAAGACCACCTCATGCATCTGAAGAAACAGAGGTATAATATTAAGATCTAATTTCTGGTAATAGAAAGAGGCCAACAACTTTTCCTATGATCACTTACTGTTTTTTATAATTAAGGCAACATCAATGAAATATCAAGTGATCATAGGAAGTTTTTGACCTCTTTCTGTTACCAGATATATTTTAATATTATATTTCTATTTCTTCAAATGCATGTAAAGGTCTTTATGGAAATTGTATAAATGCAGAAAAAAATGGCACGTTGCTGGCAGAAATGCAAGTTAATTTGATAAATATGGTTGTGAATTCCCAAGTCAGCCCTACTGGACTTCTGTCCACATACCATAGCAGATACAGTAATGAAATGGCAGTTCCTAATGCAAAATTTGGCACTGCCTCTTCTTCCAAGCTTTGTACTTTTCTTCTGCTCCTCTCCTGTTGTTAGTTTTTTGTCCGTTGTTATTCCTCAGCTTTTTAGTTCATTTCCACTCCTGCCTTAGGAGGATTTTCAGTTGTCCTTTTAAACAGTTGCAGGTCTTCTTTTCATGTTTCCTCTGATTCTGCTGCTGTTTTGATTTCAGTGACAGGGACAGTACCAGTCATTGTTCCAGAATTAAGAACTAAATACAGCCAAAGAATAGTTTCTAAAAAGAGAAATGATACAACCACCATTGTCCTATTCAGTAGTTTTTCTTTATTTTTGTAAGTTAACAATGAGCTCAGTTAGATACCATTCCTACCCTTGTCAACAGTACAGTAACTATTAAAAGAAGAAAAGACAGTTTAAATTCTGTGTTTCATATATGCCTTCCATATAATTACATAATCACATTTTTCCATAATTCAGGAAACTATATAAAACATGTTTTGCCCATGTTAATCATTTCCCACTTGTTAAATACAATTCTGTCTCAACTCTTAGTTTATAATTTTTATTAACAGTTGCTGATAAATTAGGAAAACATGATGACATGCCAGTAGAAAAAATGAGACTGATGGAAAGATCAGAAAATATGAGTTACAACAATGTCTTCTTAGATTGGGATGTACAACAATACTACAAGTTTTTGGCTAAAAGAGGAGACACACAGATACAGGTGATTTATAAAGATGAAATCATATTTTTGTGAAAAAATATACTGACTTACAGTACTAGATGAATTAAGGTTCAGCCCCACAAAAGGACTTAGAGGGAAGCAAAGCACATAATTTCAAAAGTGATCCTCAAAACCCATACCTGGGGTCTACAGATACCTAATTATTCATGAGTGAAGTTCCCACATTGATGAAAGTTCTACCTTTGTGCATCTGCAAACTGCTCTAGACTGAGCAACTTGGTACCTTTCACAAGGTAAAGTCTGATTGGGACCCTCAAACTAAGTGGTCCTCCTCCTGTCTTTCCTGAAGAGCCCACTCTGTTAGGTAGGCTCAGAGCACCCTATTACATACCTATATGTGTACAGTGCATACAGAACACTGCATCAGCTGCTGTTTTCATTGCAAAAGTACAGCAAGAGGATGGAGTAATGATGTTTACTTTTTCTAATAGCTAAGTGTTAAGAGTATTTGCCCACAATGTGGAAGACCCAAGTGAAATTCCTTTCTTTCCCTGAGGATGTTGAAACCCACAAGTCCCATCTCCCAAGAGAAAACCTTTCCACAGGTTGTAGACTAGTCTAGAACAGGGGTTCTCTCATTTCTGTCTCCTAAATCTATTCCACTATGTAGAAAAGAATTCAAGAGTTACTGGGCCAGAAGCAGAGGAAGCAAGAAGGATCTTGACTCTGTAGCCCAGTGAGAGAGGCACTCAGTACCCTGCAAGCACATATGCATTTGACACTGAGCATTCAGAGCCATAACATAATCCTAGCCCTAAGTATTTAAGTCATACTGGGCCATAGTAAGGACCACTGTAGTCAAAGAGACTAGGATTTGGGCACATGAGAAGTAGATACTGGGGATTTGCCACATGACAGATGGACAAAAGTGTCCACATGTGTAGATCTGCTTACAGAATTAGGGTTTGGGGCTGTAAACAATTCAGGCATGGACCATGCATTTACAATGCCTATCACAATGGGGATCTCATGGTTGATTATGTACTTTGGGAGTCATCATAATGTAGAAATAAAAACACAGTCTTGTGGGTTAAGCCAAAACCTTTATCACCTTCATTCCATTAAAGAAACACTTTCAAGATATACTACTAGCTCAGAATTCAGTAATTAAATACTTCAAAACGCTTTAACTCTATGTCAATAGGGGATTTGCAGTATCTATTTATGGGATTTCACAAAGGTAGAGAATATTACTGAAATAAAATATTTTGAATAATTATTTCTAGGTGTATCTTGGACAATTACATCTTGTAGGAAGGAAGGGAGTAGAAAAAGATCATTCTGTAGGTATACTTTATAAAAGTTCAGTATTAAGTTTTGTGGTACTAGTCTTCCCTACAATCTCTTTATTTAAATATATGAATATTTTAGAGTAAACCAAAATAATTTAATTTAGTGGACTCTGTATAAATGAGATTTGTATGATATACTACAGTATTTTATTGGGTGTCCTTGCAAAGGTAGATGGGTCCTGATTCAATCACTGGGACCCATGATTACCTTAGAACCCCAAAGCAGCGAATAAAGTACCAGGGAAAGATATTTTTTAAACATATAAAGTAAATGCAAACACTTCTGATTTGCCCTGAATATCTTAGCCTATGCCTACATACAGTTTTTTGGAAACAATTATTTAAATATTACCAATCACTATGAAACAGAGCAAATGACAAATTTTAATGGAACAGTTTTCCATCACAAAATGCAGTTTTGCCAAACAAAATATTTAATCAGAATGAAACTCATGGCAATTCTTTGGGATAAGTTTTTGATGGGAACATTTCATTTCAAAAAGGAAAAGAATTCCTGACTTGTATATTATAATAATTATATTATAGCTTATATTAAAATATTTTGTAGTATTGAAACAAAATGATGTTCCAGAATTCATCTACAAACATTTTAGATATTTTGATTTATTTTATTCCAATTCAGAATGAAACCAAATTCCAAAATGTCAGAACATCCCACAGGATAGAAATTCTACTTTCTGACTGGCTCTAGCACTGTGATTCGAAAAAGGTCAACTTTATTGCTGATGCAACTCTGCTGGGTTCAAGTTACCTGACTGTATAAGCATAACCAAACTCTGGATAAAATTAAATCCAGCAACTCCATCTCATTAAACCTGGCATCTACAGCCGCTCAGAAACAAAATGATGGTGATTAATGACCTGTTTCAGACCCTGACCAGTATCAGGTCCCTATAGCATCTAAAACAGAAAAGACTTTAAAGGAAAGAGGTGTCAGCTATTCCATATCCAAGGCTGGGAAACTTCTCAGAATATTTTGGTAGAAACAGCCAAATAACCATGAAATCATTCATTCAAAATTTTCTACTGTAAATAACATGTTATGGTACTTCAGCGTTTTGTTTCTTCTTGTCTCTTTTCCTTTCCTTTTCCTGTTTTCAGCACCCTTTTCTTCCTGATTTTGGCCTTCTTGTGCTAGTTGCTTGCTAAGTTGGAAAAAATGGTGCCCCCTCCATGCATTAATACCTGGTTAACTGAAATAAAAATCACTGCTTTTTTCTTTTGTCTTCTGACATGCTACGTACTGGACACTGTCAGACTCAGGTCACCTGTGCAAAAATTAGTGAATCAAGTCACCATGTTTGGGTGTTGTATGGCAAACACTTTCTAACCGCAAAGTGAATTCTACTGTTCAACAGTAGCGTAACTAGGGGTGGGAAAGCAGGGCGCCAGCTCAGACTTAGATGGGGAGAAAATTGACAGCAGCTGTCACTGCCAGCCCAGGAACCACTGCTACCCTGGGTGCACAAATTGCTTGCTAGGCATTTGCTGTTCAGTCTTGGGAAAATGCACAGCTCTGAGGGCCTTGTTACACATTACACTGTTAGCCGCTCAAATGTTGATTGGTGTAAGTCAGGGGTGGGCAAAATACGGCTTGGGGGCCGGATGTGGCCTGCCAGGCCATTTTAGCTGACCTGCGGGGCCCCTAAAAAATTTAGAAAATTAATATTTATCTGCCCTGGGCTGCCTGTCATGAGGCCCTCGATGGCTTGCCAAAACTCAGTAAGCGGCCCTCTGCCCAAAATAATTGCCCGCCCCCATTGTAAGTGCTAGTTCCTGTTTGGAGCAGTAACACAATCTGGCCAGCAGGGGCCTGGAGGACTGAAAAGTAAGAAGAATACCCCACTCCCATTCTGGGCTTACATCCTGCCCCCTGGGGCTCCCATGGTCCTCCCTTTACCCCCAGGACTCTCCCTCTGCCTCCTCTCACACTTACTTGGAGCTGACCAAGCTGTCTGTCCCAGGGGAGCTGGTAGGGAAGGGTAACCCTGCCTACCCAACCGCTGCCACTGAGCTGCTGCTCTTCTCTAGGTTGGCAAGGACTTTGAGGCAAGGGACTTTTCTAACCTCTCATGGCACAGTGCCCAGAGCAATGGAGCCCTGATCCAGATTCCAGCATTGGATAATAGTACAGTACTATTATTTGAAAAATAATGATGAAGCAACAAATTAAATTTCAAAATCAGCTCTCTCTCCCCTAATAAAAGCAGACCCCAAGCTGCCACAGAAAGGAGGGAAGTAGAGGAAGGTTCCTTTCTACTCTGTTCCTGTAAGGGAAACAATTAAATCAGTCTCTTACCTTCCTGTTCCTACTAGCAAGATGGAAAATGAGACAATTTCTGGCTTACTGGGTTAGTGAAGTCACCAGAATGCAAAGATCTGAACAGTTGGGGAATAGGGAAGGAATGTATTTTAAAGTCAAAAGGATAATACTTTTGAAAGGTAATTCATATTTTGAGGAGTATTAATATTTCTTTCTTATGTTCCCATAGACTCAAATCAGCATTTGAAATATTGATTTATATGGTCTCAACAGTGACAATCTGGTCCTGTTCTGAAGGCTGAATCCTAGGCAACTTCTGACTACTGCAGCTGTCACACACCCATCATATCAAATTAAGCCCGGATTCTACAGGAATATTAATTGGGATTGCACGTGCATAATCATATAAGCCTTCTATTTAAGTTTTTGCACATTCAGGATCTAAATATGTAAAGCCATTTTTAATGTCCTGATGCATTTTTGGTCCATATGAATCAAGGGATGGCATATTGCATAGCAAAATATTGACCTTGTTTAATATTTATTTAATTCCGCCCCCCCCACCTCCCTGCCCCCTGAAAAAGCATAACTTTGTCCTTGCTTCTTCTTCAGAAAGCTTTCTACTACTTCCTAAAGGCGGCAAAAGCAGGGAATGCTAATGGTATGGCATTCCTGGGAAAGGTACCTATTGCTTTTGTAATTAACTTAAGTAATTGCAAGGGTTAAGAAGTAGAGAATGGCTAGACCTAACACAGTCATCCAGGAGAATATTGGTACAAAGACCTCTGCCCCTTGCACATTGTGGGTGCATCCAGATGTGCATGGACATTTGGTTCCCCAGAGACAAGTTCTTGTCCCCAGGGAATGCCCATTCCACACATGCTTTGGCGTGCGGCAAGTTGCCTTGGGTGGCATAGGGGAGGCTGGGACCAGCACTGTGCTGGCCCCAGCAGCCTTACCTGGGGGCCTCCTGGAGCTGCAGCCATGGTGATCCTGCCAGGGAGAGCCTGGCCAGTAGCTGCAGCACAGCTCCAAGTGGCCCAGCTTCACGTTTTAGCAGCGCATGCTGCCTGAGCGTGCACTGCTTCGGGATATCCAGGGTGAAAAAAAAAAATGCGGGGGAAAAAAAGTGGAGCAGCGCACGCTTGGGCAGTGAGTCCTTGCAGCACGGAGAACTTCCGACTGTGTGGTATGTGGCACTGCAAACATGTTTGCAGTGTCACATACCGCACGACCGTGCTTGTCTGGATGTGCCCTGTGAGGCTATGCCACATCTTGATTCAAGACACTGGGGACAGAATAGGCTCCTTGGCACTGCTACTCCCTACCATAAGCAGAATGGGAAAAGGGCATGAAGTAACAATGGTTATGCTTAACAGAGTTGAATCAAGATGGGACAGAGATTGTATAAATGGGCAAGACTGAACACCTTCTCTTCAGTCTTAAACCAACTATATTAGTTTATTATTGGACTGACAATGAAAAGCAGCAACTCAGAAAGAGGCTCAGATAACTAAAAATATAAAAACAAAGCCATAGCTGAACAAAGGTTTGTAGAAATGCAAAATAAAGCAAGTCACTTTACATCTTAAAATATATTTATAGCTTAAATTATATTTATGTATTTATTTATATATACAAACCAAGTTCTGCCTTCAGTTATAGTAAAGCTCACTGAGAAGCCACAGGTAGAAGTGTGCACACATTTTGGCCCACAATACTTGCCATAATCAAAGTAACAAAGTAGAATAGGATTTCAGAGGGGATATAGACCATATTTGGAGCCTAAAGTATCCTCATATTTAATTGTAGAGGGAATATGAAGTTTTGCTATTTTGCCAGCAGATAAAAGTAAGAAACCTATCAAATTACTGGGTGACTACAAAACCAATCTTTCTCCTTCCTATGTACTCTGGATTCTGGTGATACTTAATATTGCTGATAAACAAAAAGACACAGATACACTGTACAGCCTCATTATAACAACCCAACCCCCCAATTTAATCATCTAAACAGGAGCTAATCTTTCCATTATTATGATGCAGCATATTGACTGATATTATTATAGCAAACAGACTCTTTTAAGGAATCTTCTCTCAGGCCCAAGGAGTTCATTTTAATGAGATTGTAATGTATTTCAGCTCCAGTACAAACTCTGGAAGGATATACATGCTAACTATAGGGAAAGAAAGAAATGTCCTGAAGCTACCAAGGCTAAGATTTTTCAGAGTAATAATTTGGAATGCCTCAGTTATCAAATGCTTGATTATCATTCCTTAAAAGGACCGTATTTTCATGGGGCTGGTATTCCATCTGTTTCTGAACATCATTCCCCTATAAGATGGGCACTTAAATGGAGCCATCCATAATCACTAGTCTCAGCTGAAAATGTTGGTCTCAAAGAAGATGGAAAATAATTTAAAGGAATGTTTTCTAAGTTGCAAACAAGTAATTAATTTGGCTCTATAATTATCACCATTTTAGAAACTAAGAATTAGACTCATGAATGGGAGAAAACAGGCAAAGTTTGCTCTGCGTGTCACCTGTACCATACCATTAACTTCACTGGTATGAGTAAGAGCAGTACTTAGGCTTGCTAGGGTAATTGAGAACTGAATTTGACCTGTTCTTTGGAAAACTCTGGATAGGCAAAAATCCATGCTACATAACTAAGAAGTTTTCTCTTTTCTATGTATCAACAAGATGTTTTTAGAAGGAAGTGTTGCTGTGATACAGAGTAATGCTACGGCATTTAAATACTTCACAATGGCAGCTGAAAAGGTACTGTAATGAAAAATTTTCTCTTCCTTTTTTTATATGTTTTGAGAAAGTATTTGTGATCTGCACCTCTCTTACTTAACGAGGAAAAAAAAAACAGGCAACCCATTTAATGGAACGCTGTTAAGTATGGCACATTTCTAAGTATACGAAATATAATCAAGTTGTATAGCTGGTTATTTTTAAAACAGTTGGTTATGTTTGGGTAATGGGAAAACCAAGCAGAAAAGTTGCCAGATAGGAACAGGCAGAAGAACTAATTGTGTGCAAATTAAGTATCAATTCTGCAAGGTGCTAATTATCCTCAATTCTCATTAAGCTCAATTGCATCTCAAGATCTCACTAAGTGTAGAAAGGATGAGAAGTATCAAGTGCCCATTGACACACTGGAGCCTGTTTGATAGAAACAAGTAGATCTTGAAGTTTAAGGAGCCATTTGTGTATCTACAAATATTCTTTTCAGAGGACAAGTCCAAAAGTACATGCTGTACTGATGAATGTCAAAGATGAAGCCAACATTTCCATCCAGCTTCATACAGAAACTATAAAAATGAAGATATATCTGCGTAAAGCAGATGAGAAACAGGTTTCCATTGAGCTTTTATATGTTAAATAAGGTTTAAAAGCACAAAAATCATAAACAGTTGAGGGAAAGACCTATTCTCGGCATCTTCCTGCTAATGCAGGAAAAAAGTGAAGATTCTGGCAGAAATTAACATAGCTAATAAATCATAAATTATGTTCACTTCATTCTTACCTCATTCCATCGTGATCAAATGTAATGGGGATCATACAATACTATATAATGTGTAATGAATATAGAATACATATATCACAGGTAGCATAGCACTAAGACACAATAGAAGAAGATAACAAGATGATGTATCCACTAAACGGAGTATAGCTGGAGTGCTTGTGTAATTTATACAATACTATAATTTTCAACCACTTCCACCTGTGCTGCCTGTGAAAGATACCTAGGATCAAGGGGCAGGATAAGATTCCAGACACCAAGGTGCTCAGAAGACCATCATTCCCCTGTATCCATACCCTACTGAAACTGGTGCAGCTAGGATGGGCTGGCCACCTTTCAAAAATGCCCAACACTTGCCTGCTGAAGATAATCTTCTATGGTGAACTGTTAAATGGAGTACAGTTTCTCAGTGCACCAAAGAAGCAGTACAAGGACACCCTAAAGATGTTTTTTTTAAAGAGTTTTGGCACTGACCCAGGGTTATGGGAGCAAATCACTCGTGACCATCCATCCTGGAGGTCATCGGTCCAGAGCAGAGCACTGGCCTTCAAGCAGCGGACGGCAGAGGCAGCAAGGAAGTGTGTGGCCAGGAAAACGAGGACTTCTCATGTCCAGTCCTCGTTGCTCTCCTGCCCCTGATGCAGCAGATTGTTCAGGGCAAAGATGGGGCTTATAAGTCACCTGCGTACCCATGTGACCTAGCCTCCACCCCGCTCCTCTCTCCTTCTCCTTTTTCCTCTCTTTCTCCCTTTCTCTTTTCTCCCTCCCTTTTTCTTTCCTGGTTCCTTTCTCTCTTCTCCCCCCCACCCCCGACCCGCTGGATGCAGTCATCTTTGCTTGCGAAGGACGAACAACATAACTTTTAAGAAACCATTAAGGAAACAATCGAGACAAGGAAGCTAAGATGGTATAGGACTGTTTGCTTTTATGAGCTGGCTTAAATATATCATTCATTACTGACTATTTGCTTTGGCCAAAACACAACTGTTTCTGCTAAATATCTTATGAATTGGAATAAGATCATGTGAACTGAGTAACAAAAAGGAAATAGTTGTTGAAACTAGTAAATACAGACGTTCAAAATTCTAGTTTGGGCTACCTCCATCCGAACCTTGAAACTACAGAACTCTGTGTAATGAAATGAAGTGGGACTATTTCCGCTTCTTCATAAGTATTTCTTTTTTGGAAGGAGAGTTGGCTTTGGACCCCTCTGAAGAATGAAAGACACATCTCACCTACAAGTGCATGCAGTGTCCAGGACTGTTCACACAGAATGTCTCTCCAACAGCCATTGATAGCACAGCTTCAATGAAACACTATTACCAGGCTTTACAACAGACTGTTATTTCTGGGTTTCTCCCTCCTTTGATCCTCAGTATGGTGAAGCTGGCATGAATATAATATGGCTGAAGCTTTGCAGGACCAGTGGAGTAAAAAATGCACCCAACCCAGTCTACCTACACCTCCTCCAGCCTGCATACTTCTCAAGACCCCACCTTCCATGTGAGTCCAGGCTAGAAAGAAGTTACATAGCATTTTGTGCAGATTTTTGATGTTTCAACTTGGTTTTGATCCATTTCAGAATGAAAATAAGCAGTTTGCAGTCATTCATGAAAAGGAAGGTAGCCTTAGCTCTTTGGCAGTTTGTCAGTAGGTTGTTCAGGAGCACTGGAAGCCCTGCAGGCTGCATCCAGATGAGGACGTGTCTGCGGCACCACTTACCATACATTCAGCTGTTCTCTGCCCTGCAAGAAGATCCTAGGTTCAAAAAAACTTGTGCAAAAAAAAGCGGAGCGGCACACACAGCAGTCTGGCTGGCCGGAGTCACACTCGGGCTGCTGGCCAGGCTCCGTGCAGCAGAATTGCTGCTGCTGCAGCCCCAGGAAGGCCCCAGAATCCCACATATGGCTTCTGGGGCCAGCCCAGTATGGGCCCCAGCCTCCCCTACCCCACCTGGGGTAACCTGCCACATGCCACAGAGCGCATGGCACAACAATTCCTCAGGGAGAAGTTTGTGCCACTGCTACTTGTCCCCAGGGAAACAAATGTCCATGCTCGTGTGGACACTGCTGCAGTCTCCAACTCAAAGCCAGTTCACATGGCAGGCTGCCCTGGAGCCAAGGACCCTGAAGCCCTGGCTTAGGAGGACCCAGGTGCTTGCCAAGAGCTGAGTAAGTTGGTCAGAAACCAAGCACATATGTGATGGGACCCTGTCTGGCAGGTAGGGGTCTACTGAAACTTCACTGAATTTAAGTCTCTACAAAGTATTTCAGTTCCAATGATTCAGGACATTTCAGTTAAAAATGTCAGACCTTTGCTGACCACTGCTGATCCAGACCCTAAGGAGCTTCCATAATATTCAACACCAGTGTCACTACTGCAGCGATGATCGAGAGCGCTTCTCACCTGAGAGGGGAGACAACATACCATGCAGAGTATGCTCCCTGCGTGCACCCCTAAGGTAGAAACAAGTCCTATTGCATCTTTACACATTATTTTTTTAGGTTACAGGGTCCCATGAGATTCATCAGCTTGGAAGTACTAATTTAGTGTTGGTCTATAAATCAGTATCTGAATTCATAGTTCTAAGTTCCCTATATAAATAGTACAAGGTAAGTATAAATAATAATAGTTAGCAGCTATTGTATAGCAGGGCAGTCCAACTGGCAGCCTGCAGGCTGTATGAGCCCCCAGTGGGTTTGTTTGCAGTGTCCAGGCTCACGCCTGGTTGCTGGTTGCTCCAGTCTGCTGTAGACAAATCTCCCAGCTCCCCTCCCTCCTCTGGCTTCCACTCCCACCCCAGCGAGTGGTGCAGTACAGTGCTGGAGGAGCCCACGGTCCACAGCAGCTGGTGCAGTTGGGGGAAGCAGTGGCTGGGAAGCTGAGGGTGGGGGCAGGGTGCCCACAGGCATGGTGTAGCTGGGACACCTGTGTGGCACAGTGCAGTGGGAGGGATGCCAACATGGTGTGTGTCCGAGACGGTCTGTGGCTTGTGCTGGTCTGGCTTGCATGCTGTGTGGCCCCACCGGGTTCAGCCCATACTGGTGTGCAGCTCCCAGCCACTTACAAGGTGGACAGCCCTGTTTTACACATTTATGTTTAAGACAAGAATTTTTAAAATGTATTTACTGAAGAATTAAAAGCAAACAATACATTATTTTAGGGCAATGCTGTTGGAATATGGGGACTAGGTCTTCTTTATTTCCAGGGAAGAGGAGTCCCATTGGTAAGAATTATTTTTGTTACTTCAAACATGTTTCTTACAATATAACCAGGAAAAGTCAGAAAGACTAAAATGTTTAATCAGTACTATCTTTAGATGGCTACTGTCCAATATAATCTCCTTTAATAGGAGATTAGAACACAAATAGTGTATCATTTAAATTAGAATTTAATTTAAACAAAGTCTTGTACCACTGCAAGTCTGACAATTTTTGTTGTACTCTGAATACATCATTATGCATCTTTCATGGCATTTTTCCTGCCTTATACTCATGTAAGACAGAAAAGAATCAAGGCCAGAGTTCAAGGAAAAGAATGAAAACAAAATGAACTTGATTCTATTTACATTTATTTAAAAAAATGTGAATTATTTCATTGAACTCCATGGCATTGCACTGTGGAAAACTAATCTGAGATGAGAATGAGGTTAGGGTCTCGCAGAGTAGGCAACCTGCACATCGAGGAAAAATATGATTTGACTTTTTTGTTCCTTTCACTTAATGGATTACAACTAACAATCTGCCATTAAACACTGCCACTCAGAAATGAAACATTTTTGTCTTTCTGAGTACTGAATTTTTACCATGAGGGAAGATTCACAGAACTTTCTACAACAGAGGGTACTTTACCTTTCAGAACTACACTGTAGCTTTTAAGTACTTTGAAGAAGCCGCTGAGAAAGGTCTGGCAGATGCACAGCTCCAGCTAGGAATCATGTATCACTGTAAGTTTTGTGTCTTTACCAAAAAATTGTATTATCTATTTATGTATGTATTTATTTGATTTATAGGCCACCCTCCCCCCAAAAGGCTCAGAGTGGCTTACAATAAAACAAGATAAATCCTAAAACAGATAAAATATGAAATAATAATAAACAAGATGAAAAAATAATAAAACAATTCCCCAAACAGTGCCCTGAATAACAGCCTATGACTTAACCCTGCCTGCTAAAAGCCTACCCAAATAAGGTCTTTTAACACTTCTGATGGGCTGCAAGGGGGGTGGAAGTTCCAAAATTGAAGAGTGACGCCTGAAAATGACATCCCGTGTGTTTGCACTGTACAAATGTGGCATACAGAGAGACCTTGTAGGTGGTTGCTCTTGACTAACCTTAGAGATTTGCAAAGGACATAGAGGAGGAGATGGTCCCTTAGGTATGTAAGGACCAGGCATTACTCTGGTATCGCTATATTTACAAAAAATAAAAGTTCCAATCTAAATCTGATTTGCAGCTGGCACTGGAGTCAAGAAAGACTATAAGCTTGCTTTCAAATATTTTTACGTGGCATCTCAAAATGGGCAACCCATTGCTGTTTATTACTTGGGCCAGATGTACGCTGCAGGAACAGGAGTGTTTAGATCATGCCAAAATGCAGTTGAGGTAAATCATGCTTTCTTTAAAAAAAAGTTATTAGTTATTTAAATAATACCTGGGGGGAGGGGGTAATTTTTGGTTTATTTTTTAACTTGTTTCCATGGTTTCCATAGAGGTTCTCTGTTCTCTGTTCTTTTGTATCCAAAGTCTGTACTTGAAGATGTTGGAGAGGAAACATCTGTTTAGATTGGTTCTGGCTTACACCACTGTAAATTAGAGTTGAAGGTAACCCACAACATCCCAGTGTGACAGCTTTTACACCTTTAAGTCTATTTTGTCATTTAACAACATACGTTCAAGTACTCTTATTTGACACTTCTTGAAAGTAAAGTCAAATCTTTCTGTAGGATCATAGGAACGTAGGGCTGGAAGGGACCTCAGGAGACCATCTAGTCCAGCTCTCTGCTCATTGCAGGATCATCTCTGTCTATAAACTATCCCAGTGAAGTGTCTCTCCAATCTGCTTTTGAAAATTTCCAGGGATGGGGACGCCCCAGCCTCTCTAAGTAGCCTGTTCCAGCATTTAACCACCCCTTGTAGTGAGAAAGTTCTTCCTAATCTCCAAGCTCTACATGTTTGACTTGACCTAAAACCCCTAAATATTTTAAGTCCTTAAATATTTGACTATCGATAGAACATTTTAAATATAGATTGAAGATTTTTGGGTGGGTTTTGGTTAATTAACTCTTTTCTATGTACTATAAATACATTCAGTTTATCTGTCCCCTTGTAACTCAAACAGTTAGCTGGCATTTTTGTTAAGATTTTATTTTTTTACACTGCCTTTTCAACTGTACATGTATAACATGGTCTTTTATAGTTACTTAAGGAGTATTCTTCTACACAGCCTTCCATGAGTGTCTTTACATTTTCCAAAAAAGTATCCACAAGCCACAGTGCACCAGTGTAATTTCTATTCCCTTCACCTCTCTCAACACTAGAGGACTTCTGGGAAAATATCTTTGCACACATATTTTAATTCTGATGTGCTGTAAAATTAATGGGGGAAAGGTGCTTTTGAATGCCCAAGTATTATCTAGTGGTATAACCAGATCATTGTTAATCTGTGGGAGAGTGCAATCTCACCAATGGATGCCAGTCACAGACAGCCAGTGCCTTTGGTGGTATCTTGTAGCATAGAATATAGACCTACATGTCTCCCAGCTTAGCTGAGTAAGAGGCTAACACCACACTGTTTTGCCTCAGTTCATCAAGTTATTGCACTCCAAATTAAATTTTGTTCATTTGGTTCAATTGTTTGACCCTGTTCTGTGTCAGTCAATGCTGTGTCTTGTGAAAGGCTGTTAAAAAGGGCTGGGGTTCATGATGGACACATGAGCTTCCAGTGCAGCTCTGATTAAAAAGACCAATGTGATAGTTGATGTATAAGCAGAGGAATATATAAAATAGGAGAGTAGTTGGTTATATTATCTTTATACTCAGCATTAGTGTAGATATTAGAATCCTGTATCCAGTTCTGGTGTCTGAGGGTACTTGTACGCATGACGGGGTTTTAGTTCTCTTTAGTTTGTGTCAATTAAAAACCCACCATTTCAATATAGGGACTTCCGTCATGTCACAGTGATGACACTACCATGGGCAGGCTCTGCCAGAAAAAAAAAAAAAGCAGTGGGGGCCTGATCTTTATTTTTCCCAAAGCCTGCCCTCCTCTCCCACGGCCAAGGGCTGAGCTGTCAGCGGGCCCTGAACTGCAGGGGGAATCCCAAATTCTCTGCAGTGGTGGCACCCCCTGGGCAGCACCTGCCTGCTAACACCCCGCCTGGGTGGTCTCAGGGGGCACCACTGCTGTGGAGGGAAGGACTGGGGGCTTGGCTTGCTGGCAGCTTGTCCCCTTGCTGTGGGAGATGTAGGCAGGCTCCAGGAGAAAAAAAAAAGTGATGAGGGACCTGATCCTTTTTTCCCCCCAAAGCCTACCCGCCTCTCCTGCGGCTGGGGGCCGAGCTGCTGGGAGGCCAAGTGGTCCCGAGCTGTGGGAGGTCCTGGTCCTTCCCTCTGCGGCGGTGGTACCCCCTGGGACCACCCGGATGGGCTGCTAGTGGGCAGATGCTGCCCATGGGCACCGCTGTTGTGCAGGGAAGGACCGGGGCTCGCTGCAGGTCAGGGACCACTTGGGCTGCTGGCAGCTCTCCCTGCAGCTGTGGGAGAGGCAGGTAGGCTCCAGCACCCCGTGCACCATCCCTGCCATCTTCCCAGTGCTTGGGACCGCCCGGGAACGGGCTGGCTTGCCCCTGGGTCAGCGCAGCAACACGGCATCAGGGTGGCTGGGTGTGCTGGTGGTGGGAGAAGGCAGCAGGTATAGTGCACGGGGTGCTGGAAGGCTGCCAAACCCAAGCTTTCCTAAGCATGTCTGGGCTTCCAGCACTCTGTGCACTGTTGCACTTTGTTACATAGCAAAATAAAACACAGCAGATGGGTTTTACCTTGCTACATCATAAGGTCATTTAAAGTGAAATACACTGCTGAACGTGTGCATCACGATGAAATTAAAAAGAAATTCACCACTGCAAGTGTAAACAGAGATGCCAGTAATGTGGCGCAAAAGGGCAATTAAGCCACTTTAACGGCTAATTTTGTCACGTACAAACAAGCTGTGATTCAATAAAGACCTTCTTAAATTGTAAAGAGTCCAGAAAAATGCCACATGGATGATTAAAGAATTGGAACACTTGCCTGATACTGAAGGACTCAGGAGCTCAGTTGATTTAATTTATCAAAGAGAAGGCAAGGAGTGACTTCATCAGAAGCTATAACTATCAACAAGGGAATCCTCTGATAATCCACTTCAGGCTAGCAAAGGTATGACAAGAACCATGAGCTCAAAGTTGAAAGTAGATTCATTTAAACTGGAAGTGAGGCACATATATTTATCACTGAGGGTAATTAATCATTGGAACAACCTACCATCATTGATAATGGATTGCCATCATTAGAAATTATAAACTGAAGTTTAGATTTTTTTTTTAAAGATGTATACTAGTTCAAGGACAAGTATTGGATCTGAAGCAAGAATTAATTCTGGCAAGTTCAGTGCCCTGTGCTGTGTAGTAGGTTGGACTGCATCATCACAATGGTTCCTTCTTGCCTTAAAGATCTTTTAAGCAGTTTTGCCATTCTTATTTGTGGCTTGATACATAGCAGTGCATCTGAAATATCCCCTCTTATATGAAGTCTTACATGACAATCTTGATTACTTCTATTTCTTTATATGCAGGTAAGGCAAAAATGTTAAACTAGGCATGAATTCATCTGTTTTATTGATATCTTTATACCAGTGAAAGATGCAGTTTAACATAACTTCTTTTTGTGTAAATAATGTGCATAATTAACTCTGCTGCATGCTACAAAAATGGCAAACTACTCAAACTTATTGCTTCTGATAAGGGATAAAATTTCACGGGTTTGTTCTGTCACTGTGCCTCTGTTCAGCTCTACCGAAGTGTTTGTGAACTGGGAAGTTGGTCTGAGAAGTTCCTGACTGCATACTTTGCTTACCAGGCCAGTGACACAGATTCATCTCTTGTTCAATATGCATTTTTAGCAGAAATGGGATATGAAGTAGCTCAAAGTAATTCAGCTTACATTTTGGAATCTGGTAAGATCAGTTATTTTCTCTCACATATATATTGAAGTGTCCTGTAAACCATGCTAATTCAGTGTCTTTTACAGAAAAGGTTAAAATTCTCAGGGAAGATCACAAGTATCCATTGGCACTTCTCCTGTGGAAGAGAGCTGCAGCTCAAGGTATGTAACCCTGAGTTAGAAGTAAACTGTTTATAGCTGCCCACTCTTGTTAGTATGAATTTCCTCAGCTCAGGCCCATGCTGCTGCTGCAGGTGGATCTCTGCAGGGAGAAGGGCTTGGGGGGGTGGGCAGGGACTGTACACATGTGTGCATATATGCATGCATGGGTCTCCAGCCTGTCCCTGAGCAGAGCCATGGTGCAGTGAGCAGGGAGTGGATCTGTTGCTGCCACTGCTACTGGTGTTTGGTGGGCTTGGGGGATGTCTGTGTCCATGTCCATATCCAGCTTGGCCCTGAGCAATCATATTCTGCACCCATCCCCTCCTCACCCTGATCTGGGGCAGATCTAGGCAGAACAGGTGCACCCAGCCCTTATTGCATCTCTGTAGAGATTCCAGTGCCCAGCCTGCCCCCTCCGGCAATCAGTAGATGGGCTCCCCTACCTGGATCCTGGCCCCCGAGTGTCCCCAGCTTGGCCCAGAGGTCCCTTCCAACCCTGCTTCTCTGATTCCCATCACTGACAGAGCAGTGAAGGGTTGATTGCTCCCCTGCACCAGGCAGCCAGTCAGAGATGGCTTGCCCATTCAACTGTACTCGGGAGTCTCTGGCAGGCTGGGAAATCCATGGGGCATGCTGGGAGGCATGTGAGAGCTCCCCCTACGTGCTGGCCTTGAGCAGTGCAAGCCCCCCTTCCACCGAATGGAGAATGTCTGTTCAGTTTGAACATGCTCTAACTTATAGCACTTTAAGTTAAGTGCAATATCTAGAGTGCATTTGCCACAGGCTTTTAGAATGTCTATACTTACGACCTCATTCAGAAAGACATAAGCCTTCATAGGTGGCAGCCTACTTTCTCAGATCCTATACTAGCTGCTTTACTAAAATCATCAATGATTTCTCCCCTCACCTTGTTCAACAGTCTCTTTAGTCTCTTTCCACCTAATTCCTGATCATGCTAGTCATTCTTTCCGTCTCCTTGAGACTTAAGCCTCCAAACTCTGACCTCTCTTCTTTCCTTGCTAGTTGAACTCCATTGTTTTTGTCAATTTGTCTATATCCTTTTTCCTGATCTGTTAGCACTGCAGGGTGGGGGTGGGAAGGATTTGCTTAAGTCCCCTTCATACTTGTCTTAGTGATTGAATCTATTTCTCATTGTTTGAAACATCATCTTTACTTTAATGACAACCAAATCTTTTCCAACCCGTTTATTATACCTCCTTCTATAGTTCTAGCTGTATAGCAGGAACTGGAAAAAATCATTAAGGAGTCTATGTTTGATAGGCTTGCAAAAGATAGGATTCTGAATTTCAGCCAGCATGGCTTCGTTGCAGGCAGGTCTTATCTTGCCAACCTCATCTTCTTTTACGATCAGGTAACTCGCCACCTGGATAAGAGAGAAGTGGTGGATATTGTATACCTTGACTTCCAAAAAGCCTTTGATCTGGTAAAGTTCTTGCGAGAAAATCGGAAGATACTGGGCTTAACTGTGAGATGGTTAGGTGGGTAGGAAGCTGGCTGCAGGGTAGGATCCAGAGAGTCCTAATGAACAGATCTGTGTCATCCTGGCAAGAAGCAGGCAGCAGTGTCCCGCAGGAGTCAGTACTTGGTCCTGTACTTTTCAACATATTCATCAATGATTTGTATGTTGGGGTGAAGAGCTCACTGGCCAAGTTCACAGATTACACCAAGTCATGGGGAAGCATGGTCACATGTGAAGATAGGCTACAGATACAGGTGGATCTAGACAGGCTAGCAGGTTAGGAAAGTCAGAACCAGATGAGGTTCAACATTGAGAAATGTAGAGTGCTGGGGACAAACAACTGTGCAACTACAGGCTTGGTAATACCAACCTGACCAGCACTCTGAATGAAAGAGACCTGGGGGTAATAATGGACCACAATATGAGTTGAGCTGGCGGTACGATGCTGTTGCCACAGGGCAAATAATACCCTGGCATGCATCAATCGATGCATCTCCAACAAGACCAAGGAGGTGATCCTTCCATTGTACTCAGCACTGGTAAGATCCCAACTGGAATACTGTATCCAGTTCTGGGTGCCGCATTTTAACAAGGACATGGCAAAATTTGAGTGAGTACAGAGAAGAGCCACCCATATGATTAGAGGCTTGTATGGCAAGCCATATGAGGAAGGGCTGAAGGACCTGGGACTCTTCAGCCTGAAAAAGAGAAGGCTGATAGCGGCTTATCGCTACATCAGGGGAATACATCAGGGGCTCAGTGAACAACTGTTCAGCAAGGCACCCTTGGGGAAAACAAGGAGTAATGGCCACAGACTCCTGGAAGACTGTTTCAGGCTCAACATTAGGACAAACTTCTTCATAACTAGGGTGTCCAGACTGTGGAATAAGATCCCTCCAAGAGCGGTGCAATCACCTACCACGGAAATCTTGCAGAGGAGACTGGGCAGTCACCTTGCTGGGGTCACCTGACCCCCCACCTGTTATTTTTCCTGCCTTGTGCAGGGGGCTGGACCTGATGATCTTCCAAGGTCCCTTCCAGCCTTACAATTTATGAATCTCGTATGCTTTATTATTGGTAACTAAATGTGAACAATTAATTTCCTCTCATCTGCCAGACTAGGGCTTTTCTTCTTTCCCCTTTCTGTCATCAAAATTCCCATGCTTTTCCTTGTCATCGTGACTCTCCAAACTAGATTTGTGTGTCACACTTTTTTTTCCATACACATCTAGACTCTTGCTTAGTCTTATCTGCTCTTTCCCTTCAGTGACCAAAACTTGTCTTTCCTCACTATTTCTGTCACTGAAACCATAGTGTATGGATTTGACAATATCCCTCTCACAGCTTGTCTTCTTACCCCTCTGTTTCTCCAAAATGCTGCTGCCAAGAATGTCTTTTGCCACTTGGTTTTGTAAACCCTTTTGCTCATCTTTCACATCAGATACAAGTTTGTCATTTTAATTTTCAAAACTCTATATGATTCTGCCCCCGAAGACATTTCAGTCTTTATCATTGCCCACTTCCCCTTCTGCTCTCTGTATTTGAAGTGGCCTTTCTAGTAGTTTTTTTTCAAATTATTTTCCTTTGTTATACTCATACGTTCTTCCATGCAACCCATTTAGGACATCATTCCCGCTTCACTATTCTAAATGTGCTTGTGACTCAAATCCCTCCTCTTAAATACATTATCCAGTTTCTGTTAATAATATAAAATCTTAGTCCTGCACATTTCATTTTATTCATTTTAAACAATTAAAAAAAGAAAGTAATTTTTTTAGGGGAGCAAATTTGGCAAAAAGCACAATTCACTCTAGATTTTTTTTGCCATGACTATTTTCTTTCTACTGTTTTCACCAGGCAATGCATTTGCTAGAGTCAAAACTGGAGACTACCACTTCTACGGTTATGGAACTAAGAAGGATTATGCCACAGCAGCATTTTATTACAGCCTGGCAGCTGATCACCAGAATGCTCAAGCCATGTTTAATCTGGCATATATGTATGAACATGGTTTAGGTATTCCAAAGGTAATATGAAGCACATATGGAACATTCATGTGTAAAACTAACAAACAGATGTTGTAATTGAAAGTGTGAGCAGGTATAATTTTGAACTATGCTGATTAAATATTCTGGGTGAGGCACTAGCTCTCATCTGGGAGAAAATTAGGGGAAAAATAATTATTACAATTGTAGAGGAGGATGAAACAGACTCTGATATACAAATATGCATGGAAATAACGCGGTGAGAAACAGCTGAGTGGTCTTCCACCTGATCCCATAAACACACAAATAGGAAGACAGTTTGTGAAAGTTAGTACATTAAAAATGGAAATTCAGATTGAACAATGTGATCAGCCTGTGTGTTTCATAACCACAGGACACCAGTAAGACTATTAGTTTACTCAAATTAAAATACACAGTCAATCAATTTAGAATAAGAACAACAAAGATGAATTAAAAAGATTGGAGGGAAAAAAGGCATAATTTTTCATAACTTAGTTGAGATTCAGTTGCTGCCTTGGAATCATGAAGAAATCCCCAACTCTAATTCTAAGTTTGTAGGGCAAGAGGGGAAAGTATCAGTTTGCTTTAGCCCTTCCCACTGAAAGCCCAATAGTCACTCTGTGCTCTATGAAACAGGCAATCTGTACAGCTAACTGACTTTCAATTAATGTGTGCACTTGTCTTTTTTTCCTCTTTCCTATCCTCTCCTTCCCATTTCTCCATGTCTGGTTATATCCTTTTCTATTTGTGGCTTCCTTTTCTTTGCCTCTATTAATCTTTTCCTGCCCTATATTTTCCCATTTCCTCCTGGATCTCTGTCTGGCTTCCCTATCTCCCGCAGCACCCTCAGATTTTCTACATCCTGTCCTATCTTTTACCTTCTCCACCTCAATTTCTTCCCTTGGCCTCTGGCAAATGTGACATGTATCATGCAATTAATGCAAGTTTCATGCTTTAAATGGTAACATACCAGATATTCATTTATTACACAACTAAAAGGGCAAACCTGCCTCAGAGAAGTTATTCACTGAATGTCTCCTGTCCTGTCCTGCTTATCAAATAGTGGGACCGGGAAGGGGGAGCCCCTGGATCTGAAACAGAAAGGTGTGTGCACAGCCCACAACTGGGAAAGCACTCCACAGTTCTGGGGCTGCCTGCACACCCTTTTAAGTGCCTTGTGTGGGAGCAGCCCAAGACACAAGACTTAGACTGTTTGTAGGCCACAGAGTTTAAGGGGAATGCTCCTGCAGCCCAGGACCCACCAGTGCCCCAGGCTGCCTGCAAACCTGGACTTCTAAAAGGTGTACAAGCAGCTTGGGAGGGGTCACTTCCCAGTCCTGGGGCTGCCTGCATCTCCTTTAAAGGCAGCAAGGGTGAGGGGGCAGCCTGCAAGCTAGCAACTTGAAAAGAGCGCTAATACTGGAACACCAGCAGCCCATTAAAACACAAGTAAGTTAAAAAGGCTCACGAGTCTGTCAGGGAGCCTGTAAGGTGATGGGGTGAGGGCAGATACAGAGCAACCCTCTATCACCTACTGGCTGGAAGGTGTTCCTTTGTCAAGCTCCAGCTTTGGACATGAGCTTTATTTTTGATTGAGCTACAAACTTTGTAGCCTGACAAAAGTAATGTCTTGTAAACGTCCCTGTCCTTGATCTGACTTATTTGCAAGAATCCTGGCCTAGGTCCTATTATTGGCTCTTCTGTCACTCTACTGACTGCTCTTTCCTCTTGTGATTCCACTCCTCCATTTTCTTGGAAAGTAAGGTTCTGCTGCTACAGGTATAGAATGATAGAATCATAGAAGTAGGGTCGGAAGGGACCTTGTAGATCTTCAAGTCCAACCCCCTGTACAATGTCACTACAAATATATTAAATCAAAAATCAGGTACAAATATATTAAATCAAAAGAGGATTGATGAGGTTTTGGTATACCCTACCATAACTCCAGATGATGCCATGGTGTGGCTGGTGCCTTGTAGCCAGCTTTTGTAGCTGCACAATGGGATAAGAGAATGCTTGGAGAAGGTGGGCAGGAGCTAGACTTAGAGGACTTGCTATCCATTATCTTACTCTGTTGTAGTCTACTCAGAATGCCATGGCACTTGGGAGAGCACTTCTTTTTAGATGACACCCTTTAAGTCACTAGTTCTGCCACCTATGCATATTCCAAATTACGGTGGCTCCTTTTAGTGCACTTTGTTTGCTCCTCACTCTTGGCAGCCCTACAAGCTACCCCAGCTATGGTAAAAAGAACAGAATTCGATTCCCTCACATGCAACAAGAATATTTTACTAAATTGTCAAAAGACTCAGCAAAAGCAACGGAGCTGTTCAAGCATAACTGCAGGCATCATTCAGTCATCAAAATCTTTATTACTGGTGACAAGAAGCAAAAGACAGTAGCTTGAGTTGTATCCCAGGGTGAATGTAAAGGACTGGCAGAAACTCATAACCTGAATGCATAGCAAGGATAAATACAGGTCACTATCAGTCATTTTTCACAGTAGAGGCCCATCTGATAGCTTTTCCCATTTTTATTGCTTTTCTTTTCTTCTTAAATTATTTTCCAACCTTTGTCCTTTGGTATATAAGCAAAGTCAGGGACAGCTATGAAAATAATGCCTAGTCATAGTGAAGCATGCAGTGCAAGAGACAGCTTGCTGCCAGAAGTGCTGTATGTCCATTCAAAATAGTGTTGTTATAAGCAAAGCTAGCTTGTTATAAGCAAACCTCTCTTTCATGGGACCCATGCTATCAGCAAGACAGCACTGCCTTGGCAAACTGAACCTCCAGGACCTGAGAAGGCCAGGAATCCACTGGGATGAAACGTGATACCTGTGTAAGCTTGCTGGGTTAAGAACACATCCTCTACCCCTTATTGAGGCTTCAAGCCCCTGCTCAGGGTAGCATGTAGTAGTAGCAACCATTTAAGGGTTGGGTTTTTTTCATTCTTTTTCTGCTCCTGGGGAATTTTGCAGCTAGCTTGTGCACAAAATTACTGATATGGTAAAGTAGTGCTAGAGTGATATTATAGCTGTGATGGTCCAGGAGTTATGTGAGAGGGAAGGGTTTCTCAGGTTGTTATCTTTTATTGGACCAACTGCTGGGTTGGGTTAGAAACCTGAAGAAGAATGTCCTGCATTCAAAAGTTTGTCTAACTCTATCCCAACTATGCAGTTGGTTCAATAAAAGATATCACCCTTAGATATACTTGCTTCTTGCATAAAATGATAAGAGCAACCATGGGAATTACATATGCAAAAAAGCTGTTATGTGAGTAATGGCTGTTTGCCCATGCTATTACGTTTTCAGGATAAGCACTTGAGATCTGGTCTTTATTTTCTTTGCCCAAATGTATTCATGTAAAAATCTCTTGTGAAACAGAGGTCACTATTTGCAAGAATGATACAGCCTTCTAGCTGAAAAATTCAAAGCACTTAAAGTATTACTAAGTCCAAGCAAATAGTAAAAAACATCCACAGACATATGCATTTCATTGAATTTGCTCTGGTTACATGGATCCTCATTTTGCATTAGCTTATTTGCATAGATGACTTTGGAGCCAGAATGAACTTCAAGAACCTTGAGCCAACAATGATGTGCACTTAGTTAATGAACAAAAACAAGATCATGGGATTTATAAAAGCAAACAACTCATCAATGCAGCTTGAAAGTAGAATAGCAGTAGAAAGCTCTTCTTGCTGCAGATGTGGGTGAGGGAAGAAACACAAGAATGGTGAATAAGTTCCAACATTTTGTACGTCTGAAGAGACTGAACCTGTGTTGCAGCTAATCTGTCAGAAGGCAATGAAAATAAGAAAACTGATTGTTATTATAGGCATGCAACAGGGAGCAATCTCATCCAGGAGTCCTTCTTTCCTTTTGTGCTGCTTTTCCTCAGTCTTTTGAATTTCAGTGATGAGAATCAGGCATTCTGTCATGAACAGGGCATAAAGCCTGATGCAAGAAATTTGCTGGCCAACTTCCCCTCTTGGTTGAGCTTCCTTTCTCCATTCACCTTTGCTTCCTCCCCAGATCCATTAACACACACATACAGCTACACATTTGATAACTTCCTATGGTGGGTCTCCCCTAACCCACCTGTATGACAGCCTTAGTCAGAACCTTTTTATTTACAATGCCCTTCTATGCAGTTTTATTCTCTCACAATCACTGTGCACCACAGACTGTAGTAGGAGCCATTCTGGAGCAGGGAGGCTCAAACGTTGTGTTAACAGAAGCAGTATTTTCTTCTTAAACTTTAAAAATCAAAGGTAAAGGCAATCAACCATCTTCATCCTTGTTTTAAGCTTCCTTTCACAGATGGGTAAAGGTTGTCAAGTGATAACACAGTTGTTTAATACATCACTTGCACACACTCATAGGCACTTAACAAAAGGAAAGACTGGTTAGAGACATCAGATCTTGTACTACATGCCAAATACGTCACCAACAAACAGATGCACATTCTGTTACAATACAAAGTGTTAACTGGCCCAGGGGTTGTTGGCTTTTAGTGCATTTTTATTACTATTTAAGCACCTTGAAGGGAAACACTGCTGAGTGAGAAATACCATATTAAAAGCAACATTACTGGAGAGAAGAGTTTTAAGTGTAGTGTTAATACATTCCAACTGCACATGAACACCGCTAGAAGAAGTGTCAATAGAAAGACACTGATTTGTGGTAGAAGTCTGTGCATAGCCTTGAATAGGTGGCTAACATTAATTAGCCTTAAATGAATAGGCCCTAATCCTGGCATTTGACTGCTGTTCCACACATACAGAAGCTGTTGCACACGGGCCACAGTTTGCATTTCTTTTAGAAGAGGCAAAAAATAGTCTTTAGTTTTCCATGCTTTTAAAGATTGTGTGAAGAAATATGTATTCTTTGCAGACTCTTAATCTGACCTCCCCACCCTGGACATTAAGCAATGTTTTCTCTCTGATCCTGTACTGAGAGAGAGAGGATTAGATGTTTACTTTCTGTCCCTCCCTGGCCCATACAAATAGACAGGAACAGACATAAGCATTACACTTCTGTATCAGAAACATCCAGGGCAAATGTTGGGGTGGTTTAGACATGGATGATCTTGCTTCTGGCAGGATGTTTAAACAAATTGACCCGCTGAGTTCCCTTCCAGCTCTATGTTTCTATGATATACACATCACATTTGAAATGGAAGGCGTCATAAACGGAAGGCCATTCTGCTGGGAGTTTTTCTCGGTGTCTCAGACTACCCAAAGAAAGCTGTCTCTTGCATAGAGTAGCTGCACTCATACAGTATCGAGCTTTAACAACTATTGCTTTTCAAAGCACGCTAGGTGATCTTTTACATAACATAATAATTAAATACCTTGAAATGGTCCAAGACCTTAAACTTCATTAGATGTTCTTTGGGAAGCCAGTAGAAGACAGGTTTGACATCCTCAAGTGGCATGTTCTGCTAATGGGGTACAACAGCACCCTGCTAAGTTTTTAAAGGCAAATTGCTGGAGTCCAGGGATTTGGCAAAAACAATGCAGGACAAAAGCCAAGTGATTGGCATTTTTTTGTACTTAGTGTTTTCTCTGCATGGACATTATCATCTGGACTTGTGCATTTTCTTACTTTTAACTGGTTGGGTTTTGCAAGTGATGGAAGGGTGAAAGTACCAAACCTTTGCTTGCCTTTGAATCTGAAAGCTTTAATTCCCAACTTCCTCCACATCACATTAGCAACTTTACCTGTTATAATGGAGTTACACTGGAATAAAGCAATGGGTCATTCAGTCCCAAAGTCACCAATGCCTGCACTGTTACCTCTGAGACTATGTGAATAATAGTGCTTTGTGCTTGTCTCATACTTAACCCTTGATAAAGGTAAACAGACATTCTAGTTTCCACCTTATAGCTAGCCTAAGGTTAGAGAGATTGACAACAAACTGAGAGAAACACTTTGGATAATACAAGGATATGCCATTTCAGACATAAGGGACCACTTCAGACCATTTTCTGGTCTCCCCTAAATTTCCTGTTACTTTTGGCAAGTCTTTTCAGTTACTCTATCAATGCAATGGGCCTGTACATATATTGCTCCTATAGCAAAGGGGTTTTCTTTACCTTTAAGACTACAGTTGTACCTATGACAGATTACAAACCTCTGTCTAGACCAGTGGTTTTTACTTTTTTTTCCATTTGTGGACCCGTAAACATTTGAAGGGAGGTATGTACCCCTTCGGAAATTCTGAATGGAGGTGCAGACACCTGTAGGTATTGATGCTTTTGATTAATCATAGTCATCTTTCATGGAGTCCTTATATGTAGTCTGTGGACCCCCAGGGGTCTACAGATCACAGGTTGAAAATCACTAGTCTAGACTATCGACCCCCTAAAGTAAATCTTCATAATAGAAGCTACTAGGAACTTGTGTTTTGGGAGAAGATGCAATCACCTGTACTTTCATTACTACAGCTGTCCAGCACTTCCATTCTAATACTTAAACCACCTCCTCCGTTTTGACTCAAACAAGCTGTAAAAGCAGTATAGCTAAGGAAGGACAATCTTCACCCACAACTGGAAGAACAGAGTAGATAAAGAGTTTTCGTTCTTCCTGTTTAAACCTTGGCCTGCTTTGTCCCCATTTCTTAAGGATGATGCAATAAAACCAGAAAGACCTCTGTGTAAAGAACACATTCTCCAACTTCATATTAGTAAAAAGAAACCCCTATGGTTTTCTTCCCAACTTTATCTCCATCCCCTGCCTGTGTAAACAATAACGGTTGGTTTCACAAAAGAAGTTTAACAGAAAGTCAAATCAACTGTCACTTTAATGACAGTATGCTGTCTTCCCATTATGGTTTTTTGTTAGTGTTTAAGGTTTTTGAGGTCTATTCACTCCCTAGGGTATTGAATGCAAATTTGAGGGTCAGGGCCTGTAACAACTACTTCCTGCAGATCACTGCAGCTTAGTTGTATCTTTCTAGGCTTTTATGACTGACTAGCTAACTGCCTATCAAGAATGATGGGGGGCAGGGAGGGAAGGACAGACAGATAGACTAAGGCTTTTATAATATCAGAATCTTTCTAGGCTTTTATAACTGACGGGCTGAGCTGCACCATTCACTCTTAAATCTAAGCATGATGAGAACTGGATTGTTCCCTGACACTCACAAGAGACATGAAGCATCTCTGGAGAGTAGAAGGTGCTTGTTGTTCTTCAGATTTTGTTGGTCCCGGCATTCTAGCATCGTGGACCAGGTTGTAGGGAACAGGAAACGTCTTTGTGCGACATCTTGCAAATGCCACTGTAAGTCTTGTCCTAGCAGTATTATCTCTGTTATCCAAGAATAGTATAATTTTACAATAATCATACAACTGTATCTATGCTCCTTAATCATTGGTAAGTAGAAATTTGGAGACAGACCTGAAAAAAACCCCAAAAACGGGAAAAGTGGGTAATATGCAGCCTCAGCAACCAACCAGTCTAGCCTGCTTATGCCAATGCCCTTAAAAATTCTAGGATTTTACTGTCTTGATTTATATTTTACTGTTCTGCTCAGAAAGTACCTATTTGAGCCTTTTATTTATGGACTTAATTAAACTAAACTGATACATCTAGTCATTACATTTTGTAAGGAAACTAGATAATTGGGCTGTTGTGTTTTTATCTTTAAAAATAAATTAAGAATTACTGCTTACTTGGAATAATTTAAAGTGTCTCACTGTTTGCCTTTTGTAAGTATCCATTAACAAATGCTGACTTCCACTTGACTTCCTATTGAATTAAATAGGCCATTTATATACACAAGACAAAGCAACTAATCAGTTAGGGGCTTGAAAATGAATTTGTAGAAGGCAAGCACATAAATTAATGTTAAAATCCATTTGCCTTTTGCCAAGATTCCTTTACAAATTAGTCTCAAGTATTATATTTATTAGGGCATGTGGATGTGTTTCAGAGAACTCACTGCTCTCCAAGAATAAGCTTATAAAATACATTAAAACAGACAAAGCTATTTAACAATTTATGCAAAGCAGAAACTTAGAAGGTTGACTAGGGGCTAGATCCACAAAGTGAACTTTACCACAAGGCTGAACATTATAGATTTCACCTTTGTGAAATCAGCCAGGCTGAGTTAGACACCCAGGCTCCCTATACAGTGCACAAAAGAATTGGATGCCTCAGGAAGAGATCTATAAAACAAACATTGAATGAGAAACCACTTATGCTAGCTTATAGGATGCCAAGACATGCAGTAGTTAAATTTTGTGCCTCTCTAGGGCATAAATGTATAATTCTCTTTCCTCAGGATGCATCCCTGAGTCATCTTCTGCAGTTAGGAAGCTACTAGTACACCAGCACCCCCCTGCCCCAATAACAGCTGGTTGCTACACCCCCATCCTCCTTTTACAAATATAAAGGACCCATGGATATAGGCAATCCACTCTTGCTTCTGCATGAGGGAATTTAACCCCGCACAGCCAACCTACTCACCAGACTACTGCATATTCTGCTCTTGAAGCTGTCACACTTGATTAAATATTTAATGAGGCTGAGACCATGCATGACCCTCTGGTGTAGTAACTGAGGCATTCACTTGGGGTAGGAGTGAGTATTACATATACATTCCTTTTAGGAAGAAGAGAAAGTTGGGTCTAGGTCCCCCATATCTTAGATGAGTGCTCCCAATACTGAATTGCTGGAGAAAGGAGGCATGAAATCACCACCACTACCTTCTTCCATACCATTCATAGAGTGTTTGAACCTTAGGTGCAATCTAAGAAAAGCTACTGAATTTGGCCCTGCAAACATGATAAGCTCAGGAATGACTAATTTATGAATCCTGACACTCGACAGGTACTTATCTCCTCAGCAATGTCAAAACTGATGCAATTCTGCCCATGTCCAAAAATAGAACTTGAGGAACACATGAAACTTTACTTACAAAGAAACAGGCACTGATGGGTGTTAGGCAACCCAGAGTTAAGCAGAAACTGAGTTAAGATTTTGAGGATCTAAATTCTGGACTAGCCACCTTGGAAGTTAGGTGCCTACATCCTTTTCTGGGGCTAGCCCTAAGAGTCCAATAGAACTTGCATTGAAGTTGGTGAATTTTCGCCAACTTCAGGGACAAGGTACTGATCTTAAAGATACCCTGTAGATTCAAAATACTGGATTTTATGGAGGGCATTTTCACATGAAAATAAGCTGCTGCTGATAGTAGGAAACATACTTCAAAGAATCCACTTATTTTTGTGGGGGTGAGGAAGGAATAAGTTACTTTTTCTTCAACTAAAGTGCTGGGAGGTGGTGGCGCAGGGTAGGAGGTGGCAGCGCTTCATCTCCACCTGCATGCACGTACCTCTTATCCCCTTTCCGCGTACACCTAGCTGACAATCCCTGTTCTAAAGTTTATGTCTGGTGCCTCTAAACTAAAGTGACACCCTGTAACTGAGACATAGAACAGTATGGATAAAAACATATTACTTCAGAACTAAGAAATTACTCTTAGGTATCTAACAACCCAGTTCAGTTGGTTATGGAACCCAGATTCTAATGTTATTGGAGAAAAAACTGAATCTGAATATCATATTAAAGCCCCTCAGTAAATTCTTCAGTTTTTCCAGTGAATATATCACTTCTGAACTTCAGATCACATTATTTTGCAAGCAAACACAATAAAGCACCAACAAGTCATCTAATTGCACTAATAAAAAAGGACACCTTTCATTTTTTAGGATATATATTTGGCTAGGATGTGGTATGCTGTTGCAGCAAAAACAAGCCCAGATGCTTCCATTCCAGTGTTCTTAGCAACTTTGAAACTAGAAGTTACTGTTCTACTCAGAGGAATGAAGTTTTTCAAGGTAAGTATGGATGTTGACATACCTAAATGCTTTCGCAGGTCTAGATCTAATACTGCTTTTTATAATTAGCATTCTTTTTGTACCTATATGCCAGATTCTAGATAGAGCACCAAAAAATATTTCCATAAAAGCAGGGCCAGCATTTAAATTACATGAACCTTCCCAGTCTCAAAACTCAACTGCTATTTGCACTGATGTACTCCACGCAAAAGGAAACTTATGTTTAGCTGTTAATTCAAGCATGACTTAAAATGTATCTAAGCTTTCAGGTGAGAACAAAAACCATAACAGGTTAATCTGATTAAAAGGCCTGACAATAAATGTCTTTACTGCATACAGAGCATCAGCATTTGAATACTTGGTTCACAAGGCCCAAGGTGTACAGCACCTTGTGAAGAAAGAGAAGCCCTTGCTTGTTTTTAAGACATCTTGCAACAATTCAGTGCTAATGAGTAGAGTGGTCATCAATCAACAGTAACCGACTTCACAATTATAACCCTCTTCTACTATTGATTCCTTTACTTTCTTGTCTGACACAAAGAGAGACAGCCCTGTTATTAGTCATCTTCTATCCTCAGTTGTCCCTGTTTGGTAGCGTTTTGAAGGAAACACTACTGCTTTGCCCTCTGCACAGAGCTAACTAAGGGAAGGATGTCAGTCTGTCTACTCAAAAGGAACAATAAAACAGGATCCAAGGTCTGCAAACACAACCTTGGATCTGTTTCCCTGGAAATAGCAACTGGGGGTACCTGTGCTTCATCCAGCCCTGGTGGTACCTGTGCTTGTCTTGTGCATCCAAGTTCGCTGGTAATTTCCCCATCGTAGCAAAAGGTTGGGTGTTGTCCTGGGGCCAGGACTGTATTTCTCATAACAGTTTCCACAGAGAGAAAACTAAAACGTAAGAGCATATGTCTGTTGCACAGAACATGTGCTTTATTAACCTGTGCTTACTATGTTCCATAGCTTCCTTTAAAGATAGTTTGATACCACATCTAAAGCCCACAGTGAAGATGCAGCATAAGACTTTCACTTTGTACTTTGGAAAAGTCATTCCATTTTAAGTATAAGAAATGGTCTTTACTGCTTTGCTAACCTCTCCCTTTCTGCTCTAAACAGATTATTACACAATGGAAACTGTCAGAACTTGGACCGCACTGGGATCTGCTTGCAGCGGCAATCATAGTCATTTTGCTTCTTCTCTTAATTAGAAATAGGTACAACTAGGCCAACATTACTGACAAAGTCTTTTGGCAATTACTCTTCTTTATATTCTGAACTAATAAAATGTGTATTACTAATTTTTTCTACATTCTGTTTCCAAGACATTAGTAACATAAAAAACACACAGTAAATATCTCTGGAGTGAGAGGAGAGAAAAATCAATAACATTTTAAGAATGGGATTTCTTAAACAGGCAGTTATATCACAAACAAAAAACCTGGCATATAACAAAAGCTTCTGCTGAAAGACACAGGACACGGACACACACAACATTTGAAGCTCTTCAAAGTGCAGCTACACTCTAGAGCATCTAAGAAAGAAATGCTTGAGCAACAAATGGCCATTATAGCTCCCTACTGCATGCGCTGGCAAGAGCACTTCAAAACCATCAGAGCTCAAAGCAGCTGTGTGCTCTCCAGACAGGAGGTGCAACAAAGGACTGAAGCATCCTGACTCTGTTCCCCCAGCTGGGGGCAGTCAGTGAGCTCTTTACATCCCCTGCTCTGCAGAAGAGCTGACTGTCCATGAGTGCTCTCAAGTGCCCCATCCCCTGCCTCCCTCTCTCCTACCCCCTTACCCCAGGATAAGGAGAGGTATGGGGGTCTCTGGTCTCCTTGTTCTGGCAAGGTGATGCAGGGTTTCCAGTCTCCTGAGGGTGCACTCAAGGAGAGCAGAGGCAGAGCTCACAGATGGATGCTTGTTGAGTCTGTCCTGGTCTTCCCCTGGGGCAGGGTGGGTGGAGAAGAGCAAAGCATTGTGGGATGCTGGAGGACCAAGCCCTCCTGTTATACTCTGTAAAGCATACACATATAACAGGAAACATTTTGCATTGAAATGCTTCTATATAGTAGTTGCTTCTTACAAGGTTATCTTGGGATCATTCCCACCATTTCTGAAGCACTCCAAAGGGCGTGTATGTTCTGCTCACTCCCTGAAGCAAACATTACATCTTTCTGCACCCACAGGCACATGCCCATTCACCAGCTAGCCCAATGCTTAGAACTGTAGAACGCAGTGAGATTTCAACAGAATTTTTAAAAATAAACTATGTAAAACAATATCACTATTAGAAGAATGAGTGAATAGTCCTCCAGAAAAAAAAAAAACATGGATAAAATAAAGATTGCAAGTGTGGAATTAGAGAGCCAAAACCTTTTAATTACTGTGAATGCATTCATTTGTTTGGTTTCTGCAAAGCAAATTTGCCATTAGTCCATCTTTCAGTCACGGACAAGATTCACTGCAGTTCTTTTATAAATATTGCTCAACTAACCTAGTGTCATTCGCAAAAGCATCCATCAGCCCAGATAAATCCTGATCCTCTATTTGCTGACTTCAGTGGCAAAACCTTCCCTAACATCAGTGGTGCAAGATCAGGTATAAGGCTCCAGCATGGGACATTGAAATTAATCCTTTTTTCAGGCAGAAAAGACTTATGTATGCATAAAACATTCCTAACTGTTGTACATCCCTTGAAGATATGCTAACTTATGTCAGACTACCAGTTCCTTCCCTTGAGGCTTTGCACAAACACCACTTCCATCTCTCCTATTTAATGCAAGAGCTAGAAATAGTATTAGACAATACCATATTTCAGCTCCTTTCTGAAGAGTTTTTCTTCATGCATAGCTATTGTGTCATGAAAAAAGATCTGATTCTGGAGGCCACTCTGTTTCATAGTTTCTAGGGTCGGAAGGGACCTGAGAAGATCATCTAGTCCGACCCCCTGCCATGGCAGGAAGAGCACTGGGGTCAAATGACCCCAGTAAGGTGGTCGTCCAACCTCCTCTTAAAAACCCCCAGGGTGGGAGCCTGCACCACCTCACTTGGAAGCTGGTTCCAGACTCTAGCCGCCCTGACCGTGAAGTAGCACCTCCTGATGTCCAACTTAAACCTCCCCTCCGCCAGCTTGTGACCATTGTT